TATAAGAACAATTTAAAATTCGAATGGTAATTAATAAAAATAAATAATAAAAGATAATTGTATATAATGTATAAGTAACAATAATAATATATTTGTAATATAATTTAAAAGTAATAATAAACGTAATAATAAATTCTCTTTCAGTAACTCTCATTGGAGATGGTTTTTATTTTTCTTATTTTTCGAAATATTCATATTTTTTAATTTTTTAATATGATTATGACTTTTCTTATTAATATGCTTTTTATTTATATTATTTTTCTAAGTATTATATTCTTATCCTTCTTATTTACATTTATGCTTTACTACTATATTACCATGTTATTATTATAATATATATCGAGATCTAGCAGCGCCAAGTGTTTTTACATGAAAAATTTTTCTTAAATTAAATTTTTTCATTTTATACGGTTAATTCTTTAATTTTTGTGGTAATATTTAAATTGAACAAGGTAACGCAAGTTTGTGATGTTTTATATAATATTTTGAAGGAGAATTAAATAACCACTACTTTAGTTGGAAGAAGAAATGTCTTTGAATGAATTGTAATATAATAATTTTATTTAAGAGGAATTTAAACCATTTGGATTGGAATCCAAATTTGAAATAGGAAGATTCTTCAATAAGTATACGTATACTTAGGTTTCATTGTATAAAAATTAAAGATAGTACCATTTGGATTAAGTAAATAATAAAGATAGTATCACTTGAGTTTTACTTTTAATACTTTTAGTAGAATTTAACTTGGCGCCACAGTTGTTGATATCAAATCGTTCGTACAAATAATACATATCATTAGATTAATATTCATCATTTATTTAATTTGGCATGGTATATACGTTATACTTTACTTACGATATGTATATAAAATTTCAAAAGACATACTACGGTTACAGTAATTATGATACTCTATTATCTGTCGCAGAATTTATTTTAAACGACCCATTCATATGATCGATTGTTCTCGTCAAAACGAATTGATAAAAAAGCGCTACCATTCGTATAGAATTTGAATGTATGGAAAATATTCCTGAGAACATCACAGCTTATTGTCTTTTTATTCACTACAGAGTGATAGAATATAATCCATTGTCTAATGTTATTTGCTATTATATGACGATATAAACAAATTCGAAACTTGCTATTTTTAACTAAAAAAATTTCTTATATAAATACATATTATAATTTCACGCTACTGCGTTATTGCAACACATTCTACTTATATGTATGACTCATACTATCAAATATATGTAATACCATACACTTTATTTATATCTCATGATTTCATCTTCTTCCCTTTCCTTTTTAAATAGATACAATAGTATCGTTTGAGAATACATATGTACATATGTAAGATCGCAGAAGTAATTCATTCGTCTTGCAGTGTACATCATTTTATATACCATAATGTCTATCGCGTTTATCATCATTTTTACCATTGTTAAAATTATAATGGCAACGACTACAACGATGAATTCTTCTTCTTCTTCTCCTCAAGATATAAATACAGAAATAATTCTATATCTGCAAAAGTATGGTTATTTGAATAACATTGGGAACAATACGTAATTATCGATCGGGAGTGAAAAAATTAAACAGGCCATTTCATTGTTTCAAGAATATTATCAAATACAAGGTGATGGTACATTGAACGATCATACGTTACATCAAATACGTAAACCGCGGTGTGGTCTCCCAGATATTCCACATCATGAGCACAATACAGGTATACATAAATGGATGAAAATAAATCTTACGTGGAACTTTCATTTGGCAAATGCAAATGTCTTAAAAACTACAGCATTCGCATTCTCGTTATGGGCAGCAAATTCATCCTTGACATTCGAGCGTAAAATATTAAAAGTAGTAATACTAGGGGGATTCTAACCCATCGGGCTAGAGGGGAGTGCGGGGCGCGGGGGGGAAGGAGCGGGAGGTACTTGTAGGCGCGGGGAAGGAGGGGAAGGCGCGAGGAAGGTCCCGGCGCTATCGGTGTTTACCGGTGTAGCCGCTAACCCCGCACCCACCCCGCACCACCCGCGAAATGCATCGCGGTACTATAACGTGGACAAAGAGACGGCGTGGTATTGTAACGCGGATGTGATATATTTTTAAAAGAAAAAATATAGGGTAAAAGCAGAGATTATGGAATAGCTTTCTTTAAATTAACATTGCTCCGATATAAATGCATATGAAGACTTCAAATTTACACAGAAGTCTTGAGGAATATGTTAGCTACAACATCCAATAAATGAAAGTCACCAAAATTTAAGTCCAACGTCAATATTAACAAAAAAGTCAAAAGTGAGAAAATGGGGGGTCTAAAAAATGGGATGTAATATGGAATATCTATGAAATTTTGACCATAATAATAAATAACACAATAAATGAAGTCCAAAGGACCCCGCAGAATCCTTATGGGAAATGGCTTTCGGCTAATTTTTTTAAAAATTTGATATGTTGTACTTCTCAACACGTAGAACAAAAGTGTCCATGGCCCCAAGGTCCGATCACGGGTAGTTTTCGAGATACACCTCTCCAAAGTTGGACTTTTCGTACCTTATTGCAGCGTAATGCGGGTGCAGTCGATGTCGATGTACGATGATGCTTATGATTAAAGTGGGCGTACACGAGCTCCAGACTAATACGTACAATAATATTCATTAATTGGATCATTAGTATTTTCTCGTAACGATCATCGGATCGGTCGTCCGGTTTTCCGTACGGTGCCACGATCCGTGGTCGGAATCTCACCGCTATGACGGCATGGCGTTTAACGGTCGAACATGAGTTTTTTGAGGTCGAGACTCAGAATCTTCTGTATAGACGACTTAGGGCTTCGATAACATTGGCTTAAAAACGTATACTTACGAGTTTATATACCCGCGATTTCTTATTTCAATATTGATTTATTGTTATACTGTCAATTGTTCATCCCTTCTATACTCATAGTCAAGATATTTATCTTAAGAAAAGAAATATTTTTCTTTCTCCATACCATACGTCATTTTTAGGTAATATCCCTTCAAGTACGAATAACTTCTTCTGGTAAATATAATCCGCTGATGAATATAGATTCATTCATTATCCCAATAGAAAAATTTAGTACGGCCGCTATGTTATACATGTAATAGACCGTTCAATATTCGTCAATTGGCACGTATGGATGGTGATGAGAACGTAAATAAACGCCAAATAGCTATTACAAGGCGTGATGAGTTTGACCATCCCCCTTTACATCTTGATGATAATTCAAGGTTGTGTATAAACTGTAATCGGTCAATTATTGATGAAATGGCTATGATCGAGGCAGATCCTACTTGTGTACGATTAAATGTCTTGACTCAAACAGCATCCCAGACTTGCGTCATTTGTAATGTTCAAAATAATGTACGAAGATTATCAATACAATGCAGAGTTCAGGTCTTCATAGAAACAAATATCTATATACCGGATAATGTGAGGAGTTGTGAAAATCATTTGGATGAAAATGGCTTTTTTTCGAAAATATTATTACCTGCACTACGTTTCATCAATAGACCTTATGTTATCAAGGGTCCACAGTTGCAAGTTTTTTTACATCAACTGAGAAACGTGGGTGCAAATAGAACAAGAGGTATAGATGAAAATCACTTAACTGATGAGGAATTTCAGTGTATAGCACCAATCAGTAAACAGCAGTTTGAAGAACTTTTTACTTATTGTGATCCTGTACTCCAAAATGGAAAACTAAGGTACGTCAGTAGAAAGGATTTGTTGGTATTCTTGTGCAAGATGAGACAGGGGTTGAGTGACGATTTTCTCAAAGTCATTTTTGATTATCCTAGTAGACAAACTGTCAGTTCTGTTGTGGCTTATGTTAGGACATCTTTATTACAGAGATTCGTCCCGACTAACATTGGACCCGAATCAATAACAAGGCAAGAGTTTATTATGCAGCATGTGACGGCGTTTGCAAATGAACTGTATAATCCTCAACCCGAAGAACCAAGAGCTATCGCTGTGATTGACAGTACCTACGCGTATATACATAAAAGTAACAATTTTCGGGTTTTACGTCAATCCTATTCCGTTCACAAACATCGTCATCTCGTTAAACCAACTTTAATTGTAGCTTCCGATGGTTACATTTTAACGATTTTTGGTCCCTATTTCTCTGATGCTCAGAATAATGATGCCGAAATCCTTTGTCAAGAATTCGAGAGAGATGCAGAAACATTACAAGGCTGGTTTCAGAATGGTGACATCGTTTTGGTGGATAGAGGTTATCGTGATGCAATACCCTTACTCCAGCGTTTAGGCATTGATCACAAGATGCCTGCATTGCTTGAACGCGGACAAAGGCAACTTTCAACGCAAGATGCGAATGATTCACGTATCGTCACAAAAAATCGTTGGGTAGTCGAAGCACGGAATGGCCACTTGAGGTCAGTTTTCAAGTTCTTAGCACAAACAATAAATCTCCAGCACACAAAAAACCTTAATGAATTTTATTGCATAGCTGGAGCTATACTAAACAGGTATCATCCTATTATTCAAATGCAAAATGCAGATCCTGAGCTTGCTAGAGAAATGCTACAGAGATCGACAACTCCTAATGTCGTACAAGCGAGAGTAGAGGTAGATAACTTGCGACTAAGAAATGCCCAATGGAGACGGCTCAATTATTGTGACGTGGCAGATTTCCCTATATTTGATTTGAATTACCTGAAAGATTTGACTGTGGGCATTTATCAAATAAATCTAGCATCTTCATATATCCAAGATAAGTTACTAAGAGATAATGATGAGGAATTTCAACTTGATCAACATTTCAATGAGCCAGGTTTTCTGAGAATTAGATTGTATTCCAGATTTCGTAATGCAACAAGACATCAGATCTTCATTTCATACGAGACTGATAATAGGGATGATGAGAATGCTGCTCACAATCTTAATGAGCCAATTAATGGATATTATTGTACGTGTCAGTCTGGAGCTCGTACTCTAGGTACATGTGCACACGTTGCCAGCGTTTTGTGGTACCTAGGTTTTGCACGACATCAGGAAAACATCAAATACCCTGACATGTCATTGCTCAATACCGTATTGGATGCCGCAGACCGAGAAATTCCACATAATCCTTAGAATATTGCGATTATTGATGAATAATGTGCACACACATATCTCTCTCTCACACACACATACACGCACACGCGCGCGCACAAACAACACACACACCCAAAACACACACACAGTAGAGAGGGTTTGGAGTCATAAAATACTGCGGAAGTGACGAACCGTGGGGTCCTTATCTCTGCTAACACACTCGCACGCACGCGCGCGCGCGCGCACGCGCACGCACACATACACACACACACACACACACACACACACACACACACAAACACAAAAAAACACACACACATTAGAGAGGGTTTGGAGTCATAAAATACTGCGGGAGTGACGAATCGTGGGGTCCTTATCTCTGCTGACACACACACACGCACGCGCGCGCGCGCACGCGCACGCGCACACACACACACAAAAGCAAGCAAGCAAGCACCTGTACGCCCACTTTAATCATAAGCATCATCGTACATCGACATCGACTGCACCCGCATTACGCTGCAATAAGGTACGAAAAGTCCAACTTTGGAGAGGTGTATCTCGAAAACTACCCGTGATCGGACCTTGGGGCCATGGACACTTTTGTTCTACGTGTTGAGAACTACAACATATCAAATTTTAAAAAAAATTAGCCGAAAGCCATTTCCTATAAGGATTCTGCGGGGTCCTTTGTTTATTTATATAAACTGAGCAAGAAAAATAGAAAACTGTTCAATTTTTATTGTACAATAAGACAGAAAATATAATAGCATCATTACGAATGTTATTACGCATGGATAAATAAAAAATCGCAAATAAGCTGATAAATCGCAAATAAACTGATATAGAATACATGCTGTAATCTAACCTAACCTAACCTAATCTAATCACGAATAAGTTGCTAACATGCATGGAATCTATTCCATATTCTCAACCCTCGATGTATTCCACATTACCTGCATGTCGTCATATGACAAATAAAGTCTTTCCGTAGCAATAAACAAGTTTGAAATAGCAATTAATCTGCATAATATTGTTCATGCAACATTATTAAAAGCGTCTGTGCAATATAAGCATTAAAAAAACTTACCTTCAGTTTGTGAGAACACATTTTAGAAAAAGCTGCTGAATCTTCTGACGTAACGAAAATGAATAAATGTTAATTGTAGCAAAACGGTTGGTCGGACCGAGTTCATTATTTGTTATGACATGTTTGGTAACAGTTGCAATAACTTTCAGCGATTGCCGCCAGATTGTAATGCTTTGTTTAAAAAATAAGCCACTATTCCATATTAGTAGCCTATACCATAATCCCTGATTTTACCCTATATAAATATTCTTACCTTCACCTCTCCTCCGCCTCCGTCTCTGCCTCCTTCTTTAGTTATTCTTCTCAGCAGGAAGAAGGAGAGGAAGTGCAAGAAGTGCTGGAACTCATAAGACAGTTGGAGAATGCCTGCTATAAACTCATGACAATCTTCAGGAGTGACGTTGTTGAAATTGAAGGGCAGCGAGTCGCTCGAATCCTGTTGCTCCTTATTATCGGAGACGTTGAAAAAGAACGCGTCACCCTCGTCGAAGGAATCATCGACCTCGATGAGGAAGCCCTCGTCGAGGATGTCCTTCTCCTCCTCCTCCTCGTTGAAGACGCCCTCCCCGTTGTAGACGCCCTCCCCGTTGACGACATCCTCCTCGACGAAGACATTCTCCTCGGCGAGAAGGAAGCTCTCCCCGTTAATGACATCTTCTTCGGCGAAGACGTCCTCCTCGTCGAGGACGTCCTCTATATCCAGCTTTATTTTTTTTTTAGGTGGCTCGTATTTTTTCATTGTAACGTTTTTTTCTATGCTGCACTAAAAATTATAACTTTCATTTAACCACATAAATGTGTAAAAGTATTTTACCATTTCGCGTTAATGGTGGAATACTTTTACACATTTTAAAAAAAGTTACTCACGTCATAATACTCCCACAAGCGAACAAAGACTGACGCCGAGATGTATCCTTCGCTGCAGCGAGCCTGCCCGGGCTTTATCTATAGGCGACAGTTGTATAGAAAACAATTTAGATCATAAGTGCCGTCATGAGAAAAGTTATCGCTTAAATCGTTGCGGTACTCTTTATAATGCAGTCTAAAGATCGTAATACATTGCAACATTGCTAAGTAGTGTGCATAATGATATAAAATAAAACAGATCAATTTTAACCTACGAATTGAGCGCGTTTATTTTTCGTATTTGTTATTCGTTCTTTTTTCTTACAATGGATAGGTACATATGGCATAGGATAGGTTGGATAGGAAGTAAAGAAAGTACATATATTTTATATGAACGACAAAATTTTTTTATTCACATATTATTATATTCGGTTTTTTTTTCGTGTGTATTAAAAACTAAAGCTAATAGCTCGCAATCGACAAGCTGATGTCCATTGAAAATATCGCTATCGCGTATAGCGTCTTCGGACGCGATGTTGGAGAATCGCGTATACTTGACATCGACTGTATCGACGAGTCGGACTAATCGTTCAAACGTTACATCCGTCAAACGCAAACATGCGGCGTAGCATCGTGTCGGTCATCGTAATGCGTACGGACGAAGAATGGAGGTGTACGAGCGTAGCATCGTTCAGCGTGCAAACTCTAACGGTTAGCGGTCCAACGCTTATAAAATTGTCCTTGTATTCGTTTCGCAGCATCTTGTAAATATTCCATCGCTGCTCGTAGAGGCCCTTCCACGTTTCGAGAGACAGCGACAGTTCGTGTCGGCGATGATCTCGCAGGGCGATCTCCACGTAACTCGGTGGACCAACGCTGATTCCAATTTCCAAATACTTGTAGCCCGTAGCCGTCAGATTGTAACGTCTGCTCAGTAAACGCACCGCGCGATGCTCCATGCTGTGTACGTGCGTAATGTTAAAAAACGTTTCTTTTTGCGTATAGAACGTTCAAACTTACATATTGCTGCAGTCCTTCGTTTCGTATACGATGTATTGCTCTCTTTGGCGAAGTATTGGGTATGGGAATAAGTTTCAGCCCTTTTTGAAAAGAAAAAGATGTATTTATTTAAACAAATCTATATAAGTGAGTTTATTCAAAGTATGCTCCTTCG